AGGGGGGGGGGGGTTTTGGAAAAGGGAATTTCCCAATGGGGGTTTTCCCCGGGAAAAAGACCTTTAAAAAGCCCTTTTGGGGGGCCTTTCAAGTTTTAACCCCCCCCCCCCCCCCGGGCGCCCTAGGATATTGTCACATACCGCCTACGCGGTCAACGGGGGCTACGACCACTCATAGGGGGGGGGGGCGGCGGGGCGCGGTTTCCGGGCGGGGGGCACACAAGGACACACACAACACCCCCGGGCCTTTGGCCCCAGCCCCCCACCCCACCATCCCCAACCCAGCACCACCCACCCACAACACCCCCGGACCTCTGCACGCGCCCCGCCGCCGCTGCCCCCCCCCCACCCACCCACCCACCCACCCCACCCACGAGGCTCGCCTTGCGCAGGCTTGCTCGAGGCGTTGCACCGCAAGACGCGAGCGCGCATCCTCGAGTCGTACTCTCTGCCGGCGCCAGGCGCGCCACCCGCTTCGCCCACGGACCCGTCCATGACACGTCCATGACACGTCCGTGACACGTCCGTGACACGTCCACGATAGGCACGCCGCCCGCATTGTCCACGGAGCCGCTCACTCCGGCGACGGCGTCCGCTGCGCGCAACGCCGCCGCGGTGCGCGCGAGCGAGGGGTCGGCGCCGCCTCTCTCCGCCGGCGGCGAGGGCGCCGCGCGCCCGAGCGACGAGGCGGAGGGTGCCGTGCTGGAGCAGTTCAAGGAGATCATCCGCTCGCAGGACGCGGCGAACGCCGCGCTGCAGGACCAGCTCGGCGCGGCTCGCACCGAGCTGGCCGGCGCGCGCGCGGCCGCGGCCGAGGCGGCGGCGGCGCTGGCGGCGGCAGAGGTTGCCGCTTCACACTCCAAGGAAGCGGACAGGCTGCGCGAGGAGCGGTCGATGTACGAGCTGGACGGGCAGCTGTGAACGGCGTCTCTTCACACCACTGGCTGTGAACAGGAGTTGCGCGAGCTGCAGTCGGCCGTCGACGCGGAGCGTGGCGAGGCGGCCGCCGCCGCGGCGAGAGCAGGCGAGGAGGCGGCGCGAGGCGGCGCCGAGGCGGCGACCAGTAGGGCGGAGCTCGAGGCGATGACGGCGGCGTACACGAGCGCGGCTGCGGCGCTCGCGTCACGAGACGCCGAGCTGGCGGCGGCGAGGCGAGGCGCCGACCCGAGCGGTGTGGGGCCGCCACCCGCTGGTTCGCCGACGGGGGGCTTGCTGCCGTGGCAGCATGCCCGCCACGTCGCGGGCGGCGCCGCAGCGGTGCCCGACGCCGCGCTGGAGCCGGCTGCCGCCGAAGAGCTGGGGCGGCTGCGTCTGCAGATGAAGCTGCGCGAGGCTCACTCCGAGGGCGTCGCGCGGGAGGCAGAGGCGGCGAGGGCGGAGGCGGAGGCGGCGAGGGCAGAGGCGGCGGAGGCGGAGGCGGAGGCGGAGGTGGCGAGGGCGGAGGCGGAGGCGGCCAAGGCAGATGCGGAGGCGGCGCAGTCGCGGCTCGCCGAAGCGGAGGCCGCACGCGGCGGCGTGGTGGCTGCGGCCGCGGCGGAGGCGGCGGCGGCGTGCATCCAAGCAGCCGGCTACCGCGTGCAGGTCGAGAAGTTGCGCGAGCGCGTCGAGGCGCTAGAGGCGTCCGCCGCCGAGAGCGAGGCCGCCCCCGGGGCTGCGCCTCTGGGCAATGAGGAGCCGGCGGAGAGCAGTGCAGACGTCGCCGCTGCACAGGCGGCGGCCGAGGCGGCGGAGGCGGCGCGGTCCGAGGCGGAGGCGGAGGCGCGCGATCTGTCGCGGGCGCTGGATGAGGCGAGGAGCAAGGCGGATGCCGCCTCGGCCGCCGCGGAGGAGAGGCGGGTGGCGTTGGACGAGCTGACGGAGGAGCACGAGGAGCTCCTCATCTGCCTCGCGGAACAGGACGCACTAGCGCAGGCGCTGCGGTCGCAGCTCGCCACGGAGCGAGGCGCGCCGCTGCCAGCCACCCCCGCGACAGCAGCGCTCGAGGCCAGCACACCGGAGGCGCTCTTCGACGCCTTCACACAATCTAACCGTGAACGAACTCATGCGTACGGGTCGGTCATTTGATTCCTACGCAGTCCATTGGCAATCCGGATGCATCTCTGTGCCGCCGCCGCCGACGCGCCGTGCGCGCGTGTTCGAAAGCCATTGTGTGCTGCTCTCTCTGACACGCTGTCATTCTCTATGTCGGTGTGGTGGAGAGAGGCGAGAGCGGAGGGCGCACGATGACACAACGCTTGAAAAACCATTCTGACGAGCCGCCGAGCATACTTGCGTGGACGTTTCGGGCTCCTCTATCCCCCGCCCCGGAAGGCCGGATCCGTGGGCGATCGCACACGCGGCTGGGGGGCACGGCGCAAGGTGCCAGCGGTGGCGCTTACCACATACCACTGAAAAGGAGGTTTTGGAGCCCCTATAAACGGAAAACGCGTCATAATAGCCGCACGTTTGCACTCGCCGTGCCTTGCCATCTCCGAGCCGCGCCCCCTCCTTCAGTGTTGGGGCGAAACAATCGGGTGCCGAACTCGGCGTCGACAGCTTTGGCTGGACATCTTTACCATTTTGGCGAGAAACGCATAAGCCGCCCCAGCGAAATGGCCGATACGGCTCGGGATAGCGCGAGAGGAGTGGGGGGCGCGCGCTAAGCACTGGGTGCAATCTTCCCGCACACCCCGATTTTCCCCCGACTGACCCGCTCGGAGGTGCCGGTGTTATCGACGAGGACGCGGTCGAAGGAGCAGCACTGGTTGACGCACGGCGCCGAGTCCTCCTTCACGCATGGCGCCTCCTCCCCCTCAGCCGCCTTCGTCACCGCCTCGGTCGGCTTCCAGCCCTGCGAGAGCACATCCATGACCGGTGGCACGAACTGGGTTTTGCGGCTAGTCAGGTTGCCGATGTCCATCAGCGTGTCGTCGATCTTGAGCTTGATACTCGCGTGCAGCTCTGAGAACTGGTCCGCACTGCACGCGGCGGTGGTCGTGTCGATCTTGAACGCCTCCCGCGCCAGCGCAACCTCCTTGTGGCCGCAAAGGAGAAGCCACGTGTTCATCTTTGTGATGTCGACCACCGAGAGGAAGACAAAATCGTAGTCCTTGTCCTTCTTTAGTACTCGGAGCTCGAGCAGCAGGTCGCCGGCGGACTTCATCACCTCGTCCACGGACGTCACCTCAATGGTCGCCCAGCCAAAGGTCAGCCCGCCCGCCTTGAATGACTTCTGGTCGCCGCGGATCATCTCGTACGCCCCAAGCGAGACAAACCACTTTGTCTTGGCACGGAACATGTCCTGGGCGAGGACGTTGGGATGGTTCACCTTGCCAAGGAAGCAGAGCATCGTCGCCATCAGCTTGTCGGCGTCGGTCACGGTCGGCGAGGTGAGGTTGATGGTGTCGGACAGAATGCCGCATAGCAGGACCTTGGCCACCTCGGTTGGCATCGGCTTCCCCAGCCGCACATAGTAATGCGCCACAATGGAGCAGGCCGACCCCCACGGCCGGATGTCGATGAAGCAGGGGCCGGCGGTCTCGAAATTGGCCGAGAGCGCGTGGTGGTCGATGACGCCGCAGATGCGGCTGCGCATTGTCTTGGTCGTCTTGGGGTCGACGGACGCGGGGTCTGATGGGAACGCCACCTTGCCGATGCACGCGGGGCTCTGGCCAGGCTCGTTGTGGTCCACCAGCACAATGCCGCGCACCTTGCCTGCACACGTGTCCTCTATCTTGTCCTCGATGAACGGGAGCTGCTTGAAGCCGGCAAAGTCGCAGGCAAAACTGATCTCGCCGTTCACCTCCTTCTCGCTGCAGCACGCCACGCCGTCGAAGAGCTCGGCAGCGGCGATCGCCGACGCCACCGAGTCCAGGTCCGTCATGGTGTGGCCCACAAAGATGCAGTTTTTGAGCGCGGTGGGAAAGCACTGGGCCTCCGTGTATGAGGTGGGGTGCTGCAGCGGGTCGAGTCCCGCCGACACCTCGTCCGCACGCGCCTTGATCGCGTCTGCGAGGGCGCGAGCCTGCGCGCGATTGCTATCGAGCGCCTCGTCAAGCGGCAGCACTCCAGTCGCTTGGTAGTCGGGGCTGTGCTCCTGGCCGGTGTCAATCGAGGACTTGTTCAATCCGAGGAAGCCCGTGTCATCGCCCGGAATGCTGATGCGGGAGCCGGGCCTGGACGACACCATTCCGCCCGGGCACAGAGGCGGCTCGTTCCAGGTCTCCCGGCCGGGTGGCGACGGGACGGACGTTAGTTGCGTCGGGTTCAGCTCCCTGTTTGTTGTCTCGGGCACATTGCGACGTTAGCGAACATATGTCTACTGGGAGCCAAAGTCGGCTGGTACACACCCACGCCGTGACGTCGTGGTTTCAGAACACTCACTGACTCACAAAACTAAAATTAGATATTCTTACCTTCTTGCCCCCCTCCGAGACTGGAGACACCCACACCCCAGTATCAGACCAGGGGGACTGCCCCCCGCCCCCGCTTGCCCTGCCTGCGCAGGATAGCGTGCCCCGAGACGGCGACACTTAGCGAGGGTCACTGCGCAAGGAGGGGGTGCGTCCATGCGGTCTTTGTGCAGGGTATCTTTGTGGGGGTGGTCGGCGGCTAGCCGGGGTCGTCCTCCCGATGGGGACTAGCAGTGAGTGAGTATTCTGATACGCTACAGCGGGGCGGCCGCCCTCTCCAGGTAGGTTTGCCGCTCAACGGCGTCAACCCGTCCAACTCGTAGAAAGGAACGCTGATCACCCTCCAGCCAGCCGCCGCGAGGAGGCGCCGCTTGAGCAGCGTTGGCCCGTTAGGCTTGCGCACGCCCCGGTCGTCGGGCAGGAGGAAGTGAGACGACCGACCAGGTGCAGCCGATTGATCGCGGCATGGGGCAGATCAAAGTCTACCTTGGGCAGCTGCTCGATGAGTGGCTCGACGACGAGGACAACCTCGAGAAGTGGGAGTCGAACACGCTGACGGCCTCGGACCGCCGCATCCTCCTCGCCCACTGGTTCTACAAGGCCTCCATGAAGGCGCTCCAGGGCGAGGCCAAGCGCAAGTACTTCGAGCACGCCGGCGCCCTGCTCACAGCCGACGGCACGGACGACGACCTGCTCATCAAGCTGGAGGGCGCCCCCGCCGGCTACAAGGTGGTGATCCCGCAGCTTACTTAATATTTTATTTTCTCACGGAAACACGCTCGGCCCGGCTGACCTGAGTGCCGGCCGGGGCTAAGAAACCACGGCGCGGGCTGGGGGAGGAGGGTGGAAAGGCTTAGAAACGGCGGCGTGGCGCCGGATCCTGTTTTCTTAATTAATGCCCGAAACAGACTGTAGCCAGCTCTCCTAGCCGAGTTGTCTGTAGGACCTAGCCTCCAACAACGCCCCGGTGCAAGGGGCGGCCTCGGAGGGATTGCTCACAATCGCTCCACGCCACGCCGCGCCTATTCCGAGCTTTGCTGAGGCCCGCGCGTTCCCGAACAATTTTCATGCAATGCCGTTCCACTTTCCAGTGCGCTTGCACGATACATACACATACACATACATGTCTCCGGTGCCGTCCCTGAGCCGCTCGCTCAGCTTCCGGCGGGGTCGGCCTACTTGCGGCTCAGTGGTGCCTGTTGATCACGAGGCAAAGACAATCTCCATAATTGATTCGAAAAAGGTGACAGAGTTCGGCACAACGAAGCTTTCTGTTCTGTCTGCGCTCAATCATTCGGCGTCGCTCAAGGTGTTTCAAGGGTCACGCGCGGCGAGCTCTTTAGTAGCCCTAGTCGACTCCTCTTGCCGGCCGGCCGCCGATCGCAGGCTCGGCTCGCCGAGGGGTACAACGTCAATGCACGCGACGCCGATGGCGACCGGACGCCGCTGCATTGGGCTGCCGTGCGTGGGCACACAAGGTGTGCTGCGTATCTTCTTGATGCTGGCGCGTCGCTCGATGCTCTCGACAGCCATGGCCGGACGCCCGCCGATCTCGCGGAGAGCAGCAAACAGGTGGAGATGTTGACGCTGCTTAGCTCGCAACGAACGAGGCTCACGGAGATGGGCGGAACAGTCCATCGGTGATAGTTTAGAGCGTGGACTTCGGCCGCCGGAGTAGCAAGGAAGGCCACTCGGCGCGTAGTACGACGGTGGGTCTCGGTGCCCGCGCGCGGAGGCGATACCAGTGTACAGTTTCGTGGCGCCTTTGCACTTTGGCGTATGCGGTATCGGGCCAAAGAGGAAAGTGTGTCTGCTCTTTGCTTTCTTCTACTCCCTACTATCATCTCGTTCCCGTCCTACCAGAGAACCTACCCCGGCATGGTGCCCGGCTGCTATCGTATGTGCAAAAAAGACCCTTTTCAGGTTTACGGCTTTAGCCTATATAAAGTAGGAACGTGTCAAGAGACCGACGTGACGTACACAGTGACACATCACAGAGGACACATATTCTCCCACCCGCCGGGCCGCCAAAACGCTCTCGACGAGAGCCACAAGAAACCGTCCGCACAGCAAGCCGGTCGGTCGAACACGTTGCTCGCTCGATGCCGGCGAGCGCATGTCGCACGGTAGATGGTGGCGTGGCTAACATCACCGATGACGGCGGTGTGGGGCCACGGCGAGCCTCCGCGAGAAAGGTCAGCAATCTACCCAACGGTGTTGGGGTTGCAATATCCGCCCTGAAGTCCTTCGACACGAATGGCGAGGATACGATGGGGGCAGTACCTAGCCGCATACTTGCCATCGGGAAGAGCGGGATCGGATTTCCTACTCAACAACAAGCTATGGCCACACCCACAGTCAGAGCCCGCTGCGTAGTATTGGGAACCCCGCGTGTAGTAGCCTCGGCCGCTGTCCGTGATCATGCACGAAGTGGCCCACTTGCCCATCTTGATCACTTCTATTAGGGCCACGCTCAATTTGGCGACGACCGCGTCGTGGCGGGAGGTTCTCACCGCTCCTGCACATGCTCACGCACACTAGCATGATCGTGTCGCTCCCTCGCTTCTCTCTCTCATACGTGACATGATCTTGTGGCTCCCTCCTCTCATACGTAGCATGGTCTTGTGGCTCCCTCGCTTCTATCTCATAGTGGCATGTCCTCACGCACACGCACCATGCTCTCACGCACACCTGGGGGTATGCACAGTGCTCTCTGTACTTGCTCACTTGTTTGCGTGTGGCAGGCCCGGGCGGCGGCGGCGGCAAGAGACCGCTCCCCTCAGCCGCGCCGCCGGGCGCCGCGCCGGCCAGCTGCCCTAGAAGCGGAACATCTCCCCGTATCTCCCCGCATCTCCCCATATCTCCCGACATCTCCCCAGCGTAAAGGGTGTGGACCGTGAGTTGAGGAAATCGGGGGACGCGACCCACTTCGCCACAGACGGTCCCGCGCCTCGCCGCTATGACGGGGACACACCCCGCACCGTCCGCTGTGTCCCCGTCTTTGTCCGGAGTGAATACTCCAACGCACTCGTCGGTGACGGTGTCCCCCAACCTCCGCCGCGCTCCCTCGGCGAACCTCGACAGCGCCTTCGGTGGCATGCAGCTCTTTGCGACAGAAGCCTGGAGAGCAGCTCCTCTGCTGCTCACGCACTCTGCACCGTTGACACAGCCTACTGTGCGGCTGCCACAGCTGTGACAGCGATGGGCTCGCCCTCACTGGCCCTCAGTCACTTGTGCTGCGGCTTGTGTGAGCGACACTGCTCGGCGACTGCCGGCACACTGTGAGACCATGGGTGTGAGGTTAAACCACGCTACCAGCGCTTGGTCACATCGGCCCCGAGGTCAGATCCATCTACTCTGTTGATGACAAGACTTGTCTACTGGCTGGAGCCGAGCAGGAGGGCCCAGCGCACAACCCCTGGTCAACTCAGGGTCCACACACCCCGTAAAGCGAGTAAGGCCGCGAGCTATGCAGGTGATCAATTGTGCAGCATGGCACGGTCAGCAGCGCCGACAGGCTGTCGCAAGTCGTGATAGCATGGCCGCAACCGATTTCCCATGAAAACAAGAAAAATAAAAAAGAAAAAATCGGCGCATGCGTCGGGCTGGGGGACCCCTTCTCCCCCCCGCATGGGTACCCTCTAGGGCCCCCGCGCCCCCCCAGAGATCATACTCTTATCACAGATCACAAACGACGACACTTTTCAGGTCACGCCGGCGATGCAAAGCCGAGCACATCGAGAGCCTCCTCTGCGTGCGCCTCGGATGGGTCGATGCAGCACACCAGGGCTACGCGCGCCTCGGGCGAGAGCGCAGGCCGCAGCAGCCGCGTCAGGGTCGACCCGTCGTGTCGCGCCACTGTCGCCGCGCCTATCGTGTCGCGGCGGACGCATCGGGGTCCAGATCTTTGACAGCTGTCTGGCGGCCCCCCCCCCCCCCCCCCCGGCCCCGGTGCCGCCGCGCACACCTGGTGGCGGCCTGCCGAGCGGCGCGCGGCGCAACTCTGACACGATGCGCACCAGGGCGCTGAGCGACGCGTCCGCGTGCCGCGGATCCTGCGGGGTCGCCGGCCCCTGGGGGGGAGGGCCAACTAAGGACCAAGGCCTCTTGGCGAATGCGAATGAAGGTATTCCTGGTAGGCCCTTCTTTCTTCCCCCCCCTTCGTATTTTCTCCTCCTATAGACCTTTGGTTTACGCTCCCGTTTTTTTAGTTTCATCTCTCCAACGCCTTCCTCTTTTTTCCCCCC